TTCTTCTTCTTCTTCTTCTTCTTCTTCTTCTTCTTCTTCTTCTTCTTCTTCTTCTTCTTCTTTTCTTCTCCTTCTCCTTCTTCTTCTTACTCTTCCTCTTCTTCTTTTTAAAATGTGTCTAGTACAGGCTTTAGATGGTCTCACTACACAGACCAGACTCCTAGTGATCTTTCTGTTTGCAGCCTCTCAAGCCCTAGGATTACAGGGGTACACCACCACACCCAGACTCATTCTCTGTCTCAGTGTGCCCCGGAGTCAAGGCTGTCATGGCACACCAGAGACTGAACCCAGGTCCCTGTGCCTGCCTAAACAGGTGCTTTAGTCAGCTGAGCTATCTGGCTAGCCCTTTCTTCCAACTTCTTAACCACTACTATTGATCATTACACTTTAGTTATTTTCTCTTTCTGCTGGCCTTTCACATGTATTGCCAGGTATGGATATGAGTTAATGACATATAATGATAAAGAAGATGAGTTTGTAGAACCAAAGGGCTCATTTTTATAACTTTAATACAATGGTTCTCTCATTCTAGGATTTAAATCCCTATCTAGTCACAGTCAGCAATAAATATGTCATTAAAATAGAGCTATGACTCTGGCCCTATTCTCAAGTTTCAAAGGTGCAATGGAATGAAATTTTTTGTAAGTAGATAAAAATATGTGTTTTGTTCTCTAACAGTCCCCTAAAATGCATGCCAGTGCAAATCCAGAATTTCTTTACTGGATGCATTACAGAGAAAACTTCCCTTCTTTCTCTACAGGAAATGCTCTACAGTTTTTCATGTGGTGAAATTTTTTTTGTCATAGGGTGAACACCTGTGTGACTATTTAAAAACCACAACACCAGATGTGTGCATTTGAATGTGTCTCTCTTTTGTGTAATGTTCTCCTCACTGATTTCTCAGCAGGTTAGGTCAGAAAAAGTGTTCAAAATGAATACAGAAAAAGGTCTTGAAGAATTTTTGGAAACTTATCTATTACAAGCACATGTAACAAAAATTTGGAGCTAAAATGCATAAACAGGTCTTATCTTTGTATGTTTCTTTTTAGAATTCTGTAAAAATGCTGTAATCTCTGTGTATGCCATTGAAAGTTTCTGACAGCAGAGAAAAGTTCAGAAATAGTACTAAACACTAAAAAATATGGAAGATACTATATTACAAAATATTCAAAATTATTTTTAAAAATAAAGATTCTTTTACCTTTTACTTTGTCTCAGGCCCTCTGTTCCCCTCTTCCAAGAGATAGCTGCTCTGGGAAAAGCATTTGGTTTGCATTCAATAGCAATTTCCCCACCAACCTGAACAATGGAATTTTTTTTGATGGGACTTTTGGAGAAATCCGGAGCAGAGGCTAAAACAAGATGACAATTAAGTTATTAATTAACATGTAGTAATTCAAGAACTAAATCAGCACTCTAAGTAGAATCTAATATTTGCACTCAAAATTGATTATTCAGCATCTGTGCTCAAGCTAGGGCTGGTTACTGACCATACTTTGAAGACTCTGATTTCCTTCTTAGAATGCAAATTACAATTTGCATTACAATTTGCAAATTACAATGCAAGGTACAACTTCAGGCAGTTGGTGTGAAAATTAAATAAGATAGACATCGTAGAGCAACACAGTCTCATACTTGCCATCAAGTCCATGCTCAAAAAGAATAAATTGTTTTGGCTTTTTTTTTTTTTCTTTTTTTTTTTTATTCCCTTCTTGTCAGGGAAGCACTTATTCTGAGCCATCTCCCTGGCCCCTGTTTTAGTGTTATGGTCATTGCAAAAATAAAATCAAGGGCAGGGAAGAAGCTAGTTAGAAAAAGTTACAGTCTTAGGACCATAGAGATGATTTTACAAGAGCCAATACTGAGAATTTTAATCTTGATTGAGTAATCAAAAAATTTAACCCTGAAAGATTGTGATATTTTATGTGAATATATATTATGTGGGTTGTTTTGTTTTGTTTTTGTGGAACTGGGGATTGAACTGAGGTCCTTGCGCTTGCCAGGGAAGCGCTTATTACACTGAGCCATCTCCTTGGCCCCACATTCTGTATTTTGACATATGAAGAAATATATATATATATATATATATATATATATATATGTGTGTGTGTGTATGATTGATGTACCCAATACTTGGCTTATGAGTCACTTGCCCTCTTTCTTTTAGTGTTGCAATGAAAATTAAAGTCTTATTATTTATGTACATTAAGTCCATTACCTATTGTATATGGGGCCCAACATAATTGTGTACTCAGGATCACCAAGGCAAGCCAAAGGGCTAATCATCCACAGCTGTGTCACACATGTGATATTCCAGTGAAATAAATCAGAAATGCTTTATCAATATGCCTGATTTTTCAAGCAGACTGTATGTAGCAAAATATAGTTTGTCTTCTACAGAAAATAATAGTTTCGACACAATTACTTTTAAATGCCATTGTCATTTTCATCTTTGTCTTCCATAAATAGACATGAAACAAATACTGTTTATGGGGGTGTAATAGTACACTTACTGAGGTTTATTTAAATCTTTCCAGCCTCTGGATGTTGGAATTCCTGTGTTCAATCTCCATTCCTAAATTTCAAGTGAAGCTATGCCCTTTGAGATTTGCCGTGTTCTCCAGCTTCTGGAATTTTCAAGTATTGCTACTCCCATAATTAAGATTACCCTTAATGTGACCTTTGGGTACTTTTACTTATGATCTCAGATTAAAAATAAGGTCCTTCATTGAGGTTACAACCAACTTTCTATATGTTCTGACAGCAACAATTCAATTGTTGACTTCCCTTTAAATTTACTCTGTTTTAATCAGTAAAACTACAGCTTCAATGAAGATAAAGAACATTTTAGTTTTGTTTTTTAATTGTGTTTTTACATCTTAGTACATACTAAATGTTCAGTGAAACATCAGTAATAAAAGGAATGAACAAAGAATAAATGACTTTTTTCCATGAGCTTATAAAAGTTGGGTTTTTTTTGTTTTGTTTTGTTTTGTTTTCATTTTATTTATTTATTTATTTTTGTTGTTGTTGTTGTGCCTACTGCTGAAAAAGGTTCGGGTTGACAAAGTTAAGGAGACATTTATACTGGCAAACATCCCAGTTTCGATTTCTCAAGATTTACACCATTCTTAAACTGCTTCACTCTCAGCAATACACTATCAAATTTATCTTTCCAGTTTTTCTTTCTTTCTTTCTTTCTTTCTTTCTTTCTTTCTTTCTTTCTTTCTTTCTTTCTTTCTTTCTTTCTCTCTCTCTCTCTCTCTCTCTCTCTCTCTCTCTCTCTCTCTCTCTCTCTTTCCTTCTTTCTTATTTTAGTATAGGGTCTACAGGGTCTCACTACGTAGGTCAGACTCAGAGTGATCTGCCTGTGCTCATGACATGAGCGGGAATTACAGGAAAGTGCCACCACACCCCGTCTCAGCTCATGGGGGGGGACCGGCAGGACAGGCTGGGAATTGAACTCCAGGCCCCTGACTCTGCCTAAACAGTGCTTTAATCCACTGAGCTATTTGGCTTTCCCATATCTTCCCAGTTTTCTTTGGTGTCTGGATGCTCATGTGTCAAGGAGAATGCTGACATTTCAGGTAATGACAAAAAAAAAAAAAAAAAAAAGATCTTCGTTATGCAAACTTTGGGAAGTTTTCCTTTTCCAGTGAAAGAGAAGCACGCAGTCAGCTGACAGCTGCCTTCTGCTCTGAGCATAATCCTGGCTTATGTGGCTTGACCAGCTATTTTGAAATCATGTCTACAAGAATAAGAGAAAGCTACCAAGAATAACATTGACATCCATGACCATTCTTGTTAAAGTAAACTGTGCTTTGTTAAACCTCTGTAAATTCTGTGGGTTTTTTTTTAAGTTTATGTAGTTGAAAGCATTTCTTTTGCTTAAAGCATGAAGACAGCTGAAAATATTTCTCATGGATCCCAATTGCGTTTACGCAAAACCTCATGCTAGAAGCAGGCTGAAGGAGCCACTTCTGATCTGGATGTACCGAGTGGCATGATCTTTGAGTGTTAAAGTACTGCCTTTATTGAAGAATAATCACCATTTTAATGTTATAAAAAGCAAATTGAGAAATTGCTCATTACATTAAGAGAAAGTGGTTTATAATTTACAGAAAAATTTGGTTGAGACTATATATAATCATAGCTCACTAAGATATTCTTAATTTATGGTTATAAATGTATGACTTACCTAATACTCTCAACTCTGCATTAGCATAGATTATCTGATATTTGTTTTCCGCAGCACATTGGTAGACTCCAGAATCTGACACATTCAGCATCATTATAGTGAGCGTCCCATTTTCTATTTGAATTCTCTCCTAATAAATGGAAAATCAGAGAAAAGTAATACTAGGCTGATACGAACATCCCCTTAAGAGCGATATGTATTCAACATTTGTGAATATATATGAAATCAGTGTATTACTGCAATATCCAAAGAATCTTTAAGAAGTTTAAAAAGGGAAAATATGCTCACTATATTTAATGGGTAGCATATAGGATTTCATTTCTGTAAAAACTGGCATTCCCTGTACGGAATGTGTGATAATTTTCTGTAATATGGCATATAAAATCACTGTAAACACTAAATCATTTAGTTTCTCCAAAACACATGGCTGCCAATATTAGCATGGACATCATGATGAGAATACTGCTTTGAATTTCTCTCATAAGATTTTAATTAGACTTGAAATGAGACAAATTTACAATTTGCCACATAAATCCCATTTTGGGAAAAGGGGAATCATTTTTCTGTACACCTTATCACAAAGAGTGCTTCTATAACCAAAATCTTTTACAGAGTCCTTTTTCAGTTGTAAAAATAATATTTATATTTCTATTAATTAAGGTAAACAATAGTAGTTTCATCTACTTGTTACCGTTCTTTGAGGGTCATTAAGATAAGTTGATTGAAACAGACAATGTTATATGTGGAAGGGATATGTCACTAGAAAAATGTCACTAGAACTAAAACCAAAAAAATTATATCTAGCTTTCAAACAACAGGTTTTCTTTATTCCTTGACAGTGCTTACTTTTCAAAGTAAAATGCAAGGTTAACATGATTGTCTGGATAATTTAATGGTGAGAAACTGTTTTTGTTTTCTGGATATTATAAGAGAAAATATTTGAAGAATTAAAAATGTAGATAATTGCCTCTCTTCTCCACTTTCTTGTGAATTTACAGGTAGTCATTATTTTTTATAAAATGATATTGAATTGCAACTAAAAACCTTGATTCCTGTATTAGACAAGATTTAAATGCTTTAACTTCAACCACATACAATGACCTTGGCAAAGTGGCTTAACCTCTCTGAAAGTCATTTTCTTCTTCTGGGACCTGGAAACAGTCAAATTTTGAAAAGCTAACTCTGACTTGTACCAGTTGTTGCATGATATTGGACTGATTTCTTTCTTTTTTTATGTATTTGGTTGTTACAGAGTCTCACTATGCACCTCAGACTCATAGTGATCCTTCTGTTTTCAGCCTCCCCAGTGCTGGGATTATAGGCATGCACCACTGTGCCCAGACTCTGACTGGTTCAGACTGCCCTGGGGGCAGGGCTGGCATGGAATGTGGTACCTGGAATCAAACCAGTGTCTCTGCCCTTGCCTAAGCAGGTGCCTTATGAACTGATTTCTTAACTTTTCTGAAGCTCATTTTTCTCAACTCAGTAAAGGAATGATAGTTGAATCTTTCATAAAATTGTTGCACAAAAAGATGGCATATGGAAAAATAGCTAATAAATGACCTGACTCATATGAAAGCTCAGTAAACTTTAGCTATGATGAAAATGATAGCTATCATGGCTTTAAATGTGTATTGAACTCAAACTAGCTTTGTGACCTTGTGTAAGTTATTTGTCTTTACCCCTAATCACTTGAAAAAGGAGGATAATATTAGTAGGTACTTTGTGAGTGTGTGTAGAGATTAAGCATATATTTCCTTTCCTCAAACGTACTAAACACTCAATAAAAACTAGCTGTTACTATCAGTTATTGCTGCTGTCATTAGCAAAGTTGAATGAGAGGAGGTGAACTTTTAGTATCAGTATAGTTGCTTACCTCTGAGTTCAGACGTTCACCATTCTTCAGCCAAGTGTACCAAGGATTTGGTTTTCCACTAGCTTTGCATTCCCAGTACAGACTATCATAGATAGAGAGGTATGTGTTTTGGATCTTTTGTTCCCACTCTGGAGGGGCTGTTTCAAAATAAAAGGCCAAGGTAACTGTTTGGTGAGGCAATTATTGAAGACATTAGACTAGGTTCCAAGGTCCCAAGATATCAGGACAATGTTCACAGGATCCAGATGAACTATGCACATGAGATCTGAGGTTGGGGAAACACAGAAGTTTCAAGTGACAGAAATCCTGTTGCAAATATCATTGAGTATTTGTCTCGGACAGGATACTTGTTTACTGTTATTTAGCTGCATCTGTATGACAATTTGGAAGTTGTGGGGAAAGGTCAAATTTAGAACAGGGACAGAGAGTAATGCCATGCTAAATAGGAGTATGTGGGTCAATTTATAAAACAGAAGTAATTGAAACCCTTTGAGGACAAAATTTCCCGTAATTATATATGGTCTGAACTAGCAAAAACCTAAGTACATCTACATCAGAAAGAATAATAAAGCAACAGTTTACCATACTAATGAAATGTGTTCATCCACATTTTCTAAGATATTAACCCAACACTTTCTTGACTCAACAAGGAATGAAACTGTCGGAGGTATGTGCAAATTCTGCACCTAAATTGAAACCTGAACATGAAATTTCTAAAACTTCATTTTCTAAATGAAAAGTTCTCAATAGTACTGCGGAAAACAGCTGGCATGACTTATGGAAAAAATGATTGTATTAGATTTGCCATCCTTCATGTAAGTAATGGTGTGCAAATTAAATGTTTTCAAATGTATATTTCTTTTTTAAGAAATGTCTGGAAACTGTGTGGATAAGCTAGTTAAACCCTCTCCTCTCTGCAGTTCCATCCTCAGATATTAACAAGTATATGGGTCTTCCCCTGGAATCTTTGGCTTTGAGTAGCTAGATGTTATGCATGTGTAATTGCAATTAATTTGATGTATAGTGGAGTTTTGTAAAGATATAAGAAAACCTACCACAGAGGACATACATATAAAGTGAGGAAACCAAAATTTGAACCTTGAAAGCACAGCTTAAAGGCTGGCACTCTTGATATTTATTTGGAAATGCTACCCTAAAGGGAAAACATCAGGAAGAAAAAGATAATCAATGTGGAAAAATCCAGGCATGCTGAATTATCAAGGTGGTCATCAACATGGCTCATTTGTACTCAATCCCAAGTAAACATCTATAGAGTGTTTCTAAATTATCTGCCCCAATAAAGGAAGAGGAAGAGCTTTTGCTCATTGATTCCTGCCTGCAATCCTGTAAGAATGGCATTCCATAAACTATTTGTACACATAGATCACATATGCAAAAGTGCTGAGCAGATTCTCGAAGAGGAATAGGAAAACCAGCAAGAGGAACTTGAACCTTAGACAGGACTCTTTCATGCAATTCCTGCAAAATGCAGGGCTGAGCCAGTCTCTGTAACAGTGGTTGGAGTAAGGGGTGGGGTTAAGAGGAACTCAAATGTTATCCAGTATAAAGCCCAAGTTTGTCTGCTACCAGGCTTTTGTTACTGTACTTTGTCTCTCCTAGGACAGAAGCCCCTTCAGGACCCAGTTATCATCTAGAATGAATCAAAAGGTCTCTAAGTGATGAGAACTAAGTCCAGAATTATCTCCTTTGAAAATCACTGCAGTATCCCTCCTTTTCAAAATTTTTTCCCTCTTAATTTCTTATATATTTCTTTTTTTTTCTTCTCCCAGTTTTGCATGCATATATCTGATAATTGAATAGCTAGCTGCAAGACAGTATTATGCATTACAATGAATACTGTGAAATTCATATTATTTTAATGAAAGAAATTCTGTATCTCATAATTTTCTGTTTTAATGTTATTTTGTATTCTGTTTAAAATTTTTAAAAAGAGAAAATAATATTCTAGTGACTACTTTTAAAGGTTAAAGAACAATGGAGTAATATTTTGTATGAGTTTTTTTTTCTGAATTGTAACTTAAACAAGAATGCAATGAAACTAAGTTTCTCTGAATGAAATTTTCAGAAGTCTATTAAACTTTGAGTTAACTGAGCCACTTCTCCATTCTTTTTGGGAACAATTTGCCAATTTTTAATGTATGGCTAAGAAGGATAATGATTATTTTATTGAAATTTGTTCCACTCTTGCTCCAAAAGAATTCTCTGGAACCACCAACTGGAAGATTAGGCCGTGGTGAGCCAGGTGTGAATCAATTTGAGCTACTATGGTGGTAGGCTACAATATAAGTTCCTTGCCTCTACTGAGCGTTCAACCCAGAAATGTGTTCTTTCCTTTTTTCTCATACTCCTTTTTCACAAGATGCTTGTGACTTCCACTATTTATTTTAAGGGAAATTATCAAATATTTTTTAAAAAATTCTGTCTTCTTACCATAGAAAATGAGTTGACCTTTTGCAAGATTTCGTCCTCGAAGGTTGCCTGCAATGCACTCATAGAAGCCTTCATCCTCTTGTTGAAAGTTCGGGATTTCAAGGATAGCTTGAAATTTGCTGTACTTGACTTTTCCTGGCAATGGGCTCCCATCCAACCTTCTCCAACTAATATCAGGGACTGGACTAAACAGTTATGCCTCATTAGAACAGACAGTCGTGTAGTCTTTATGACAGCAGGATAAAATAAGAATGTCCTTAAAAATAACTCTCAAGAAAAACAATTTGATTAACACTTCTTTTCAGATCATACAGTCATTCACCATTCACTCATACATTTATTTAAAAATAAATTAAAAGTTTGCCATTTAAAAGTCAGTGTACTATGTTCAGGGACTATATCTGAAAATAAAGTAGTCATGGTCTTTGCTCCCATGTTATTTATAGACTAATGGAGAAATTTGCCATAAACAAAGTAAAAACAAAAATATTCACAAATCCTCACAAAACTATGAAGTTAAATGTGGTAGTCAAAGACATTCCTTAAAAGAGGACAGTATTTTAGACTAAACATATGTACACATATTAGACCTTCTAAAGCAAAATGCTGAGTCCTCTGTAGATAAATTGGTATCAATAGTCAAATAAAATTATAAACATTGGCAAAATGTAAATTTGTTTGGCTCTGTGAACCACAAGACATCATTATACATCATTGTAAAAAATAGTAAGTTGTAATAAAATAAAAAGAGATTTAAACTAAAGCTGGTGAATGGATTTATAAACACAGTTCTTTAGTTCAGAGATATTTAGACTAGTTTGACATATCTGATATTTATGGTTAGAAGAGGATGTCTTTTAATATTGCAGTATAAATGTTATAATATATGAAAATTCACATTTGACAAGAAGGAATGAGATTTAGAAATCCCTGGTATAAAATGCCGCACTACTACAGGTGTAAGAAAATATAGATTATAAGTACATTTACAGCAGGAAAACATTCATTAAAGAACTAATGACTTATAAAATGAATCTCCATGTCCTTTATGTGAACATTGCTCACACTGTCAAATCATTCTTCACTCCCTACAGAATTTAAAATTGTTTAATTTTTTAAAATTGTTTTATTTTAGTAGAACTGGGGATTGAACTCAGACCCTTGCGCTTGCCAGGGAAGCGTTCATTCTACTGAGCCATTTCCCCGGCCCCTGGTTTACATATTTCTACTCTATAGATTGAATTAATAAGAATGGTGATAGTAAGTCATTTAGAAAGTCAATTTATAAGTCCTGAAGAATTTCTTCAGGTCATCAAAAGTATTGTGGCACAGCACACTCTTCCATAGTTCAGCTGGTAGAAAGCAGAACTGTAGACATGACGAAAGGAATATAGGTGACTTATCACATCAGATGCAATGGGAATTACAAAGAGGAATGTGAAGTTAATAACAAACAACAATAAAGAAAGATTGAAAAGAAAGCAGGAAAACAGATGAAGTTCTAGAGATAATTACCAGCAAGACATGAAGATTGTCCTGTGCATACCCATGATAAACCCCAAAAATTCATATCATGGGCTCACAATGACTTGTCAGAAAAAGTGACTTAAATCAGCATTTAAGTCATCTAATATGTTCAGAATTAGTCTGTACTTACAGTTATAATTTGAATTTTGTTAAATACAAAATAAAACATTACTTTCCTAAATTTTGTTTTTGTCTAATTTGTGACAAATTTGTGTTAAAATTTTAGTAAACTGACATATTTCATACAACAATTCATCACAGGTAACTTCTTTTTAAATTTATTTTAATGGCATACTTATGCACTGAAAATAAAGTCCCAGAAATACTGTATTTAGATGGAAAAATAATTCACAAAATCTGATGAATTTCACTCTATGAGGTTTTATTCCCTAGGTAGATAGGTAAGTAGATAGATAGATAGATAGATAGATAGATAGATAGATAGATAGACTGAATTAGTATATGATATTACTTATATTACACATGTGATGATATTCAAGTTGTCATCCATGGATCATTGGGACATGAATCATTTTATTGTCCTTTTTGCTTACTTCTGGTTTGCCTTCAATTTCCTACAATAATCCTATTCATTACTTGTGTAATAAAGTCTTTGCGAAAATGATTTACAGAAAAAAATAGGGGCTCTAACATTTGTGTGAATTTATGGTCCTTTGTTTTATACAACACAGCAATCCAGTGGTTTATGACAAATACATACAAAATACACCATTCAATAGGCCTCTAACCTAAAGCATTCATACAAATGCAGTAAGTGTAAATTAGGTCTTCTCCCAAAAGTTATAGATTAACATTTTATATTCCTTGTGATTGTAGATGTCACTTTTTCACATTACTGAATATATAAATAAAAACACTGTGAACAGTAATTTAGCAATATGTATCAGGTGATATATAACTGTATAATACATATATGCAATTTTATTTACTTTTCCTGTAGCTAAACAGACAGACATGGATTTTTTCATGTGTCCTTGCCTCAGAAGATAAATACTTAATCACAGGGAGTATTGACTCCCACTGTACTGGAAGATCATCACACTATGGTCTAAGTATTTGTGGTTTTATAAAAGTGGATCTCCATTTTAAGGGACCCAATTGTGTGCAGTCAGAAAGCATAAGCTAAAAGATTACTAACTTCCCCTCCAAAAGAATTTAGTTATAATGCTGACTTTTTAGTGATATGACCAAAGGAAGTATCTTAGATTTAATATTCCAATCTGAGAAGTATAGCAAAATGTACAGAGGCTCCACTCCTGTCCCTTCTAACCTATATGCACCCCAGATTTTCTTGTGTTTTTAGCAGAAACAGCTTGTGCAATAGCTATTCTCTCATAAAATGAGAAGGCCCGGTGTCCAGCAATTTATGTGCCCCAGGAAAACATTCACTAATAAACTGATCACTTGTAAATAAAAATCTGCTCGATTTGGGAGATGGTGGGTGCAGACACTCCAGTGCCCTGGTCAGAAGTCAACTCCACATGCGACCTCCACTCTCACCAGTCCTTCTACAAGTTGGAGCGTGACTTCCTTTCCATACCTGGATTCCACACTGTACCTGGATACTGTTCCTCTGCTGCTGAACCTGCCACTCTTAGCATTTTACCTAAAAATTATTATACTCATTTAAAGATATTTATCCTTTTAACATCTGCTTGAAAACAATTCATTAAAATCCATGTGCACTCTAAAAGTACAGTAATTTAATTACAATACTGCTCAAAAGGAACCTGTAGATATCCCTCCTTAGGGTATTTCTATATACATATCAGATTCATGTAGACTTGTAAATCTGTGGTGTAGATGATGAAAATGGGGTATTGTGGCCCATAAGATGAAAACTGATCACAACTCTGTGAAAAAACATTCATTGTTAATCATAATTTGAGACCTTACTATTATATCTCTCTCTTTTCTCTATATCTCTCTGTCTCTGTCTGTCTCTCTATCTCTCTGTCTCTGTCTCTCTCTGTTTCTCTCTCTCTGTCTGTCTCTGTCTCTCTGCCCCTGTCTCTGTGCCCACCTCTCTCTGGTCTCCATATGCTTAAGCACTCAATACAAATTAATTTATAGTCATTCAAAAAGTAAAATCAAATCTCCACCCTAAAAGACACGGCCACAGACACATGCAGATACATTGCTCAAAGTAAACTTGCTGCATCCCACCACTTAATGTATGGACTATGAGCTCTCCTCATAGTGGCAATGTTCACGCCCTGATGACCAGGGCAGGGATCTCTTAGATAAGATGTGGCATGCATTGTTGTGGAAGACCTTTGTCTATCTAGCTAATCATCCAGAAACCACTGTGGTAAGAAGAATTAAGACACTACCCCCTTCCCAAGAAAAAAGAAATCTTGCATTTAAAATCTAGGCATTTGAAAATAATATTAACAACCATTAATTGAGTGTTTACTATCTAACAGGCATTGTGACAGATGGTGTCCATATGTCATCTCAACTGGCAGCTTCTAGTAATGCTAATTATCTTTTCAGAATTATAGTCACGTTTAGACAGATAATTCCCACTAAATTATTACCTGCCAATTCTCCTCCACTTAGAGTTCCAGAACAGGCTAATTTATTGTGATCTACCTTCTAATTCTTTGGTGTTGCCACCCTATCAATTATAAGCACTCATTGACTCTACGTCCTTCAGTGGCTTCAGGCAATCTTTCTAGGTTCTATCTAGTTTATCTATGTTGATGATAATGGTAGTACATTATACACTGACACTTCATTTTGGTTCAAAAAAGTAATTATTTTTTTAAAATCAAACTAAATATATTAATCACAGTAAAAGTGCCATGGAGAAAGAAGGAGCCTTTAAAAAGACTTTATAATGGAAATTATGATGAGATTAAATTGGATTAGATTAGAACAGTGACATATTATACAGTCACAATAAACAATAGCATTAGAACAATGCCAATTATTATAGTCACGTTTAGACAGATAATTCCTACTAAATTATTACCTGCCAATTCTCCTCCACTTAGAGTTCCAGAACAGGTTCATAGTCCATACATTAAGTGGTGGGATGCAGCAAGTTTACTTTGAGCAATGTATCTGCATGCGTCTGTGGCGTGTCTTTTAGGGTGGAGATTTGATTTTACTTTTTGAATGACTATAAATTAATTTGTATTGAGTGCTTAAGCATATGGAGACCAGAGAGAGGTGGGCACAGAGACAGGTAAACAGAGAGACAGAGACAGAGAACATTATCAACAATGTTCTAACTACAGAAATCAGCAATGTCCCTTTCAGCTCTAATTCCTCTCCTCTCTTTTTCTTTCAGAATTGAATTTCAGAATGTAATTTCTTTCAGAATTCAAACTTGATTGCAAATCTTAATACAGAAAACCAAACCGAAGAATTCTGCCACTCAGAACTTACTTCAATAATGGATGAAAGATTCCTGAACCTTGTGTTTCAAAGTGAACATTGCACAAGCTTTGTCTCTTTGTGTTCGTATTTTTGAAATCATTTCCATGAAATGTGAGTTCTCACAGATGTGAAAAGAAACTAGATGATGAAAGCAAAGCTTTTTCTTTGCTACCTTTCCCCTTTCTCGTTTTGTGTTTCTCAAATAAGCATTGCCGTAAGTACAGACTTTTAGCCCATTCTCGCTTGTCAG